CACACACACACACACACACACACACACACACACACATACACACACATTTTGGAAGCTAAGTGCACGGCAAAGCGCCGTTTTTTTTCAATTTTACGAGTGTGTTACTCTGCTTCTCTCCTTGGTCCACTTCTTCGATCAATCTATGACCCCGTAAATGCTCTCTCTCTCTCTCTCTCTCTCTCTCTCTCTCTCTCTCTCTCAATATACATCTTCCTCGTCTTTTACTATACCCAAGTCCCCACCCTGCTCGTCTCTTTAAGTCTGATCGGGTCTCGCGAGAACGAGCATCCAAGAACGTAAGGAACTAGCAAGGTCTAGTCACCAATCTCTTCCGCTCTCTTTACTTCTTTTCGTGTGATGAATGACATACGTTCATGACAATTATCGATATGTATGTATGAATTTCTTCCCCCGCTTATTTTTGACAGTCTGAGTTTCCCCGGGTGAACTCAGTCGAACGTAGAAATAAGTTGGGAGAGAAACACTTCCGTGTATGGTTGAACTGTTGGTTTGATGCATCTGATCTTTATGCATGATTTATTATAGTTTCCTTCCTCCCTTTAATGAATGCTAGATAGTTGATTTTTTTATTGGATCCAATTGCACGAACTCGCGCCTCTAGTTAGCCGATGTCATGACCCAGAGATAATGAGAACCTTGTGTTATTTGTTTACGTAGCATTTCTTTAAATTTGTGTATTTCCCTCCATTAAATGTTGATACTTGTGTTTTTGGGTGAATGACGTATTGTGTAGACAATCACTATCAACTCACGTATGTTATGTGGACCGACTATACCGATCCGATTGGGCGTTGACTTCCTGTATTCCATAACGTCTGTTCCCGTATAACGAGGAAATGCCACGTGTATGCGAGTGGGACGTATGATAAGTCGTCGCAAAGATCGGAGACCGATATTATTTCCATCCCGAAACGAGGTGTTCAAGATTCATAGGCGCTGTTTTTGTCATCATTGATACTCATTTTCTGCCTTATTCTTGATTATTGTCTTTTAACGAGTTGATTGTCATTATGTAGATGACAGTGGCACCCCATTGGCCCAACACTCTGTGTAGCGATTATCGCCACACCGAGCGTTATCAAGAAATACATGACGAGGACGAGCATAAGGAAAGAGCAACCCGACTACGGCCTTCCACGTCGAATTCCGAGCTCCGTAGTGAGC